TAAGAGTCAAATTGGTGGGTTAAGTCAACTTTATTAGATTAAATTAACCATAGTTTCCCCTATAATATCAAACAGTTGATTTTCAATGTATCAAAAAGAAGTAACCATACTTTCCTAATAAGGATTAGATGGAATCAGGCAAAACCTGGATGCTATAAAGCTTTCCGTATTAGTATTGATTATTACTGTAAATTGGTCCTGTGTCTATTAACGCTGGACCACGTTCATAGAGGCTGCAGTGCCCACAAAACATTATTTTCTTCGTAGAATGGACCAGAACCTAACTTATCTTCTATCCTGTGCCCTGTTCTTCTATCTTGCGCCCCATTCACTCAGAGCACACAGGAAAGGAGAAAACCAGCACATTGTAAGAGCAGCACATATTTAATGCATGTTTTCTTTTGACAGATTTATGCAAGATCTTTTTTTTTTTTTTTGTCTCAAATAATAAGAATTTAAGACTTCATATTACAAGTTTTATATTTAAATCTTAATATTAATGAAGAAAAATTTCGAGAAAATATAAAACAAGCAGATTTATTTCTGCTATATAACCCATCATAAGATTTTTTTACTCGTATTTTCTGATAAGAAAACTTTGAATTACACTTCTCCGGCCTCCCGGTTAGTGCCCGGTGACAGAGTTCTGTAGTTCCAATAATTTTAGCAGGTTTTTTATTAATTATATTGAAAACAGAAAATAGACATAGACACATAGTACACCATGGTTTGTTGGTTTGGGATCCTAATCTCATAAAATATGCAGCCTAAACCTCCATGAAGTATATATATTAAACTTTCGAGACCAGGAAGTCAGCGAGCATCCCTAGCTACCTTGGCTTCAAAGACAGACTATTTTGCTACCTATAAAATTAGCCATTTGAACGGTCCCAAAACAAAATATTATTAGAGCAGAATCTGCAACTGCATAATCTCTGAGATCCGACGTCCAACGCAGTTGGTAATGTTTTTGTCTTTTCGGAACGGACAAGCCTTTTTGAATCCGCTTATGCACATCACAATATTATTTCTTACGTGATTTTAAGAGCAATTCCCCCACTAATTTAGTTTATTAAAAAATATGTAGTATATTAAATGATATTTGCTTAAGTGTTGATCTTCGTAGTCATATTTTTATTTAATTTATAATACAACATTTACGTACTGACAAATTTATTCATACATCTAATCATAGGAGTTCAATAATGGTATTACATGGACCACAACGTTAACAAATCCTCTCACCATCAGGTTAAGATATAACAATTCAAAGTTTGTACCTTATATATTATCTACGTTTCATATGTAAGCACTCACGTCACTAAAAATCTACTGGATCATGACAAGTTGATCTGCCTCCCATTTTTCTTGCACCATTTTCAACTAAAAAGGATCTTGAAATAAAAATTTTATTTTTCCAGTTTTTATTACATTAATTTTCTCTTAGAGTATCATAAAAGCTTTTGAAATTGTAAATATATAATAAAAAATATAAAAGGTTGATATACCTTATGAGTAATTCAATTAGTTAAGAATATAAAATTTTATATTAAAAATCTCAAATTTAAATATTGAATTAGAGTCAAAAAAATTTTTAAAATTAAAAGTATTATTTTTTCTTATATAATTAATCATCCAATGTACCAAAAATATATATAGAAGGTTAATAAAAATTTTGGGTGTGTAATGGATGCGAGGAGCCTTTGTAACATAGATTGATTTAAAGACTGTGTCGTTAGAGCTTAATTAGTGGAAGCAATGAGGTAAGGCTAAGGTAATTCTCCTCCACCTTGAAATAGTCTCTGTTTAGAATTGTTGTACAGTATTGTAACTGTTATTGCGTCATACTGTGTAAGTTAGAAAAGCAGTTGGAAAACAATATTAAAATCAGCATTATATAAAAAGTAAAAGGGGTGAACAAAAAAAAAAAAAAAACTCTAACATTAAGTAAAATAATGTCATGTTTGAAATACGGATGGTGTTGGTGGTAGTCAATCTTGTAACCAATATTCCAGCTTTTGCTTTTCAGTTCGAAATCCACAAGCCAATGTTGTTGGGTTTGTAATTATAATATTAACATATAAAGGTCTCAATCAAGAGTCAAGATAACATTAGTAATCAGTAATAAAATTTAGTGGTAAAATTATTTGTATTTTTAATTATAAATTTAAAATTTTAATCTTTTCATTTAAAAAAAATCAAGGGTCAAGATAACAAATTTTGTAATGAAAACTATCATAACGCGTAAATTGATTGTTTTTAAACTATGAACATTCAAAGTTTTCCTTTACTGTTTCACCATTATTCTTTCTAGATTTAGGTGTTATTTTTCTTCAGGTAGACACTAGGCTGCCGTTGAAAAAATATTATTATATCGTCAGAAAAAAAAAACTAATGTTAACAATTCTATGGAGTGAGATTTAGTTGTTCTATTTTATTTATTTATGGTTATTAAAAAATTAATTTATTACAATAATTAAGATTTATCTTTTTATTTTCTTCCTTACTTATAATTAAACAAAAAAAATTTAATGTATTTTTATCTTTTTAAAGATAAGAGTAAAATTAAAATATAGCATTTAATATTCTATTAAAATAAAAAATAAAACAGTTAAATCATATCTCTTTTTTTTTAAAGTGAAACAATTAATAATATATTTGGATAGGAAATGTTATTGAAAAAATCATTTTATCTCACATTTTTACATAACTGACTAGTCATTAAAATGAGATTTTTTTAATTCATATAGGATTCGTAATATTAAATGTATCTATTTATTTAATAACATATAAAAATTATATTAAAAAAATAAAATAAAAAAATTATCCTTATAGCACCACTCTATTTGGAGTGAGAGTATTGAAAAATGAATTGTATCTATATATCTATTTTCCTCTACTCCACTCCTTCTCTCTTATTTAGATAAATAAATAAATTAAAAAAATAAAATAAAGAAAATTCTTCTCCCCCTCTTCTCTCTAATTTTTTTTATAACCAAATAAAAAAAAATTTTTCCTCCTCTTCCCTCAATTTTTTTCTTAATTCAAACATATTGCAAATCCAACCAAAAGAAATATTTTCTTTGTTTAATTTTACTCAATCCATTTTATAATAATAGACATTTTTTAATTTAAAATATCTCAAAATAATAGTTATTTTTTTATAGTTAAAAAAATAAATATTTTTTTCTATTTCAACTTTTATTATTATCCCTAAATCTTTAAAATATAAAACCTATATTATTCTAAAAGGAAGGGAGTTGGTGAAAGCCTGATACATATGATTTCTAATTTAAAACATTTATATTTAATTATTTATTTGTTAAAATTATTATTTAATATATTTATTTTTGTTTTACTTGTATTTTAATCATGTTTTTATTTTTTTGACAAGTTGAGTACTTTCGTATGGGAGTTATCGCAGTCGCAAACCTGGTTACGCAACTCATTGAAAAAAAAAAGGGACATCTACTTAATTTGTTTGGACTTTGGACCCTTCAGAGGGAGTTTAGGCAGATAAATATGCTGATTGCTGATACGCGGGTCCGACTGCATGTGCATCAAATCCTTTCATGGTTTTATTTGGTAAACATGGAGGATTTCTTGCACCAGACAGCCTACCGCCTGAAAATTAGGTTTTGATTTCCTTCCCTCAATTGTACTCTCTTTATATTAAAATAATATATGATAATATTTTTTTAATTTAAAATGTATTTCATTATAACAGTTATTTTTTTATATATAAAAAAATAAATATTTATTGCCTGCATTAAATTTATAAT